TAAGTCTATATTTACGTTATTGAGCACAACGAAGCAGCATGTGCTGGAAAGGGGTCGTGGTCCGATTAGCACGTGAAGTTCCATGCCACATTCAATTAGACAATTTGATTTAAAATCATTAGATTATTAATATTATTGGATCCAATTTCTTTAATAAAAAAAAGTAAACAAAGGTGAGGGAATTTAGCTTTTCATTTTCTAATATTTATTGTGAATTTGGGTGGGAGTATATTTTTGACTGCATCATCTAAATCCCAATTACAAGGTCAAGCCTACCCTACCTAACAGCACAATGCTTAATCAATTAATTAAAAACCACTTGGTACATGACACGCACTTGGATTCCAGTCACCACTACTTTTTTTTTTAAATGAAAGTGGGTAATCATTTGAATAAAAGAGAGAAAAGTGATTAGCAGAGCCCAAAAGACCCACCATTGCCGCCACAAGACTTCATGTTCATCTTTCATCTACGGATTGATTAAAATCTAGTTTTGGACTGGGTGTTAGTCGTATTTGGTTTGTGGGTTGGGATTAGGTTTAGCTTTTTAGCCTTTTATTCATGGGTTTGATAGATGGATCCGAATAAAGATTAGTGTTTATAAAATATATTAGAGATCACTAAACTATAATTAAATGATCGTTTTACATAAAATTTTAAAATAATTATTAAATTTATTTACATGATACAAGGATATCAATGTGATATTACAAACTATAATTATGTTCCGTGGAACGGCATGCCGCAAACAAATCATATTGGCGGCCCTGTTGAACAACTAAAACCATTTCTGCAAAGTCTCACAAAATGTTAATTAAAATTAACCGAATTGATCTCAAGTAATTCATAATCCATCTCGTCTCATTTACATTCTTAATAACCATAAACATTTAAGACAAGCACGGCTATTGCGTAAGATAATAAATACAGCACATAAATGGCTAAATTTTTAGAATAATGCAGTTGAATTTTTTATTTAGTAAAATAATGTACAATCGAGATTAATTTTTTAAATGGGGTGATTGCTACATGATTGCCAGGCGACCTCTATGGTCGCATGGAACACACGGCGACCTACCACTGCAGTCCAAGGGGTAACGTTAGGAGAGCAGTGCGTCCCCCCCAACCAGTGCTCTTAATACATTAAAAAATTTATGACTGTTTCTTAGTTAGGGAGCATTTGTTTTAATTTTATTATTTGCTGTCTTTTGTTTGTAAAGGAGAGCTGAGTATTAATGTAGTTATACAAATAATTTTTTTTTTTAATTTAAATAGGGGGAGACGCATGGTGGTCTATGCGACACCACCATGCACTGCAATACATGTCGCCAGGACTGCAATGCGACCTATCTCCAAGAGTTGCATGATATGGCAATCCTATTACTGTACAAATCACGCTATGTCAACAAATAATTGATCAAAAGCAATAGGTGAAGAATTTGTTTTCAAAGCATTAAGTGGGCAAAATATTATTTGGTAGAAGTTCTTGGTGTGTGTAATAAAAAATCTTAGTTATAACGGCAAAAAGTTTTACTGCAACGTTTACTGCAAGGAACTAAACATTCTTTATTTAAATATCTACGTCTAAACATTCTTTAAGATATTTAAATAAAAGCTTAACGTGAATTTCAAACGTGTTTAAATGTATATAATTTTTAGTGCATCATGATAATAATAATAATAATAATAATTAAGGCAATAAACTAAATCTTAATGTTCTTAAATTCAAAATAAATCTAAATATTTCTTTTTTAAAATAATATTGGCAATTAGCTTTAAAATGAAATTTTTAGAAATTGGTTTCAAGTTGAAATTGGGAGGGGAATTTTTTTTTTAATAAGTTATATGAAAATATTAAAAAGATAAAGATAGTATTATAAATAATACGAATTTTATTTATAAAGAAATTGTTTTAATTATTTTTAAATCGATTATTAGCCAGAAATGGCGAAAAGTCAAGGCAACAGAAGACTTTATAATAAATATAAATAATAATTTCTAAAAACATAGAAGAATCGAATGGGGCAACGAGGTAATTGCGGCGGAAATATTCAAAATTACCGTTAACTAATGACCCTCCAAATAGGGATGGCAAACGGGCGGGTCGGATGCGAATACCTCCTCCCCCATTCTCATACCTACCTAATATTTTTCAATCTACTACCCGTCCACCACCCATGATAGGTACAAATTTTTAAATCCACACCCGCCCACGCGGGTATATTTTCAAATTCATCCCCACACCCACTACCCACTAGCGACATACCCATCTAGACCCGCCTGATAGCAAACTAATAGGATGTTGGAGTTGGTTCCCAGACAGTTCGTGATGGGGTAGCAGCGCATGCTTCAATTTGTCAGAGGAGTAGCTCTACGAATGTTATAGAGACAGATTGTAGGGAGCATGTAGTCTCATAGCTGGATTGTTGTGTTGCTTTCGATGTTAATGCTTATAGTGCGCCTAATATGGGTTTTGAGGGGCTAAAGAACATGGAAACTGTTGCTTTTGATGTTAATGCTTATAGTACGGTTAATTTGTGTTTGGATGGACAACATGGGCTAAAGAACATGGAGAGTGACGTGTTTAGTGGGATTATGGGTTTAATCAAAGAGCCGAATATTTCCCTAATTAAAGACTAAATTAAAGACTAAATATCCTTAATATTTGGATAAATTATATGTTATATATTATACAATATTAAAATTTATAAATTAGTCTCTAAAATTACACCTAAATTCATAATGGTCCAAAATTTAATAGATATTTAGCTGGGTGGGCGGATGTGGGGTGGGCGGATGCGGGGCGGGTAATGTCTCAAACCTATTACCCGCCCACCACCCACGACGGGTACCACTTTATAAATCCACACCCTCCCACTACCCGCTAAAATTGTACCCATCCCCGCTCAAATTGGAGCGGATACGGTGCGGAATCCACGAAACTGTACCTGTTTGCCATCTCTACCTCCAAATATTAAAAAGGGTATAAGTGGAATTGGACTTCCATGGCTGCTGCTGCCGCCGCTCTCAGCCCTGTCTCTCCTTCCCGTCTTACTTGTAACTCCAATTTTCAGTTTTCTAGCGAGGTAAAAGATCGTTGCTTTACATTTTGTTTTAGATTAAAAAAAACCGGGTTCTCTTCTTTTGTTCGGAAAAGAAAATTTGTTCATCGAGTTTTGACATGTTTGGTTGCCGAGAAAATAATGCCCAAGAATTCATGATATCATATCAATGTTGCTCTCAATTTTCTTTATTTTCAAATCCGACGTCTTTCTTGGCGGAATTTTCGATTTGAACGTTTGAGCATTCTGGTTTTTCCATCTTCCCCTGTCTCATGAAATCTTCAAATGATCCTTTGAGATTAGATCATTCTCTTTTCTCTTTTTCTTTTAATTTATTATTTTTCGAATCTTGGATGATGATTGAACTTGTTTTAATATTTTGCAGGAGGAAAAAGGACAAGAGAATTCTGCAACGCTGACCGAGAAATTTGCACCCAAGTTTGATGGCTTACGGTTCATTGGTACTTTGATCACTGCTCATAGATAAGAGCCCCCATCGCCACAAGCTTCAATTTTTACCCCATTTGAAGATTTTTTTTTATTTAATTGTTTTGACCTACTGTTGATTGTTAAGAAGAGAGACATGTAAAATGGCAGTGCTGATGATGATTGTACGAATCAGTTAGATCAAAATTTGAAATTTTAATTTAATCGTTTTGAAATAGTAAATTGTTGTATAAAAAATAAGGTAAAAATGTAATTGTAATCCCTATAGTAAATCCAAATTATTATTTTCACTTATATTATTTTTTATTTAATTTAACCCTCAAAATTGTCTTGGTGTTCATTGTAATCCTCCAAGTTCATTTTGACTAACAGAAACATTAGTCTTCTGTATTTTTCAACACCAACAAGTTTTAGATCAGTCAAATATTACTGACGTGGATTGATGATGACGTGACATTTATTTAAAAAATAAAAAAATATTTACTAAATACAACGATTAGAAAAAATTCTAAAAAATTTGACCTGATTCCTTAATCTCACCGAAATAAATATTACTAAAATTTTGTGAATTTGTTATAATCAATTTGTTTAATAAATATTTGGGTAAATTATGCGTTTAGTACCTAAAGTTTCACTTTTGATATATTTTAGTGCCTGAACTTTTAATTTTTACAAAATCATACCTAACATTTGGTTTTTGTTTCATTTTAGTACCCTGCTGTGACATGCTGTGATATTTTTTTAATATTTTTTATACTTCCACATCAACAATTAAATATTAATTTTTATTATTTTTATTCAACCAATTGGGTGTTGACAAGTGTCACCACCCTATTGGGATAAAATTAACTCTAAACATGCTTAGCATGGGAATTTATCCCACGCCCGCCTGGAAGAGAGGAGAGGTCTTAGCCACCGGACTAAGAAAGACAATTGTTACCTTTTCACCACAAAATATATTTAATTTATAAACACATAACATACACACAAATATATGTGTGTATGTATAAGTTTCAAAATTCATTCTAAGACTACCCCTATTGAATTACATTTCACATTAGTAACAATACAGGTTCCGAAACCCGACATCGAGAGCTACGAACATGGTGTTTCTTGTCTACTACATGTCATAGTACAAAATTATTAGAAACAATACTGTAAATTATTCACACTAAAACGTTGTAGTAAAGAGAAGAAAAAACAACATACAGGAACAAGTGAAGGATCAACAGTGGCGTATTCTCTCTGGAACAAGTACACATATTTAGGGTTGCTTGATGAATTTGGTAACTTGGAAACTTTCCTCTCCTCGATAGACTTGAAAGACCGTGTAGCAGACACCGGAATGGGGTGTCCCAGCAAAGCCGCCAACAGATCCGATGGCTGTTTAAGAAAACAAAAACAAGAAGAAACGGGAAAAGAAACGATCATCTGTCAAAACAAAGCAAGGTTAGCTTGAAAACCATTGTGAAACAATTCATAAATCACATCATAAATAAAGAGTCGAATTGAGCAAATTGCGAATGGGGATGAAGAAATGAGAAGAAGATAATCCACTTTGGGTAAGTTTTGAATTCTGGGTAATTTGAAGGGAAAATACTCGAGACCCGGACGATGAGGTTGAAGATAATGAAGAGAAAAAGGGTTTTCCATCCACAAAAATCATGGTGATGATGAATTGATGATTTTGAGCTCATAAGTCGAAGCTAAAACCCTTTCCCCCCCCCCCCCAAAACCCACGTTGAAAAACTGGTTTTTAGCGACGTTTTCAGTCATATAACGGCGTTTTTAAGCGCCATTGAAACCAACGCCTCAAAAAGTAGTAGCGTTTTTTGTCTACAAACACCGCTAAAGGTGATGATTTTTAGCGTCGTTTTCTATAAACACCGCTAAAGGTTATGATATTTAGCGGTATTGTTAGAAAACAACGCTATATATCTTTTCTTTTGTAGCGTTTGTAAAAAGCATTGCGAAATGTTCTGAAATATAGTTGCGTTTGTTTCCAAAACGCCGATAAAGGTCATGACATATAGCGGCGTTTGTAAATTTAAAACGTCTATTTGACTACGTTTATAGTGCCTTTTTTGTGTAAACACCACAAAAGATCTAGAACTTTAGTGACTTTTTTTCTAAAACACTGATATTGAGTATGTATTTAGTGGCGTTTGTTATACAAATGCCCTAATTAACACAGATTTTGCCAATGGTGTTTTCTGCTCTTTTGTTACCCAAATTTAAATTTTTAACCTGTAGCATTATCCAATAAACATGACATCTATAATAACAAACTTGAAATCCATAACAACCAACTTGAAATCCATAATAATAAATCAAACTTTACATTAATGTAAAATATAATATAGTTCAACATTGTTAACTAGAATGAACAAAGCATATATCTAAAATAACTCCTAAGATGGTGGACTCCGAGGTTGATTTTGTCGTATCATTTGTTTCATAGATTCAAGTCGATTTTCAAAGTCTTGACATTTTTTCTGATATGTTGCTTCTCTCTCTGCTTTCCTCGCTTCATTTTCGACTTTCATTTGAGTCATTTTTTTGATCAATTTTAGTCAACTATTGTTTTAAACGACTAACTTCTAATTGGGAAGACTGACTATGTGATTACATGTACTGAGATGAATTGGATCCAAAATATTTGGTGAGAGTAAAATGATCATTGACAACGAACCTTACCATATCTTTCAGGACCCAAAACTTCATTAATAACTTGATTTTCGATGTCATCTGCATTAACAATACCAAGACTTGAAGTCGTAGCTTCATACTCCGCCCTTTTATCCCTCGATTTTTCCTAATAATCAATTAAATAATTATTTTAAATAAGAATGCCATACTATATATATAAATATAACATAATTCAAAGCTTGTGTCCAATAAATGTACCATAATTTCTGCAGCTTCATCAGTCATAGGAGTCCCATCCTTTTTTGTATGTATCATGTCAAAGAGCTTTATTTGTCCAACTTCACAATCAGATGTATTTTCCTACAATGTAGAATAAAAATTAAGTCTTGCAAAATATTATTAATAATATAATTAATTTTCGTTATTATGTGCTACCAACTTTAAATCACTATGTGAATACTCAATAATACCTCATCATTAGTTATACAAACAAAACTCTACAATCCAGGTGTGTGAGTAAACTTTTGTTGTTGTCTGCTAGCAACACCAACATGCTCTTGGTCCTACAATTTGAAATATTTACTTATAAAGTCAATATTGTAATGACATTATATTATTTTTTGAAAAATGCATCATACATGTCCTTTCTTTGAACTCCAAAATCTGACTGCATCTTCCCAGTGATACCTGAGCATTCCAGGTGGGTAGTTTGCAGCTTCTCTTCAAGGCTGAGATCATTCTTGAAGATTTCTTTTTTAATGAACTCTTGTGGTCTCTACATCTCTTCCCTAACATTTGCTTCAAATAATCGTCTGAGACCTCTAAAGAAATTTTCTTCTACAAATAACATAAGTGTTCAAAATAAGTATAAATTACTATTGAACCGTTATGGATTATCTATTATAATGACATTATTACCTTAACAAAATCCAAAGCCTGATTTTTGTTACTATTTGACATTTCACGACATGACTCATAATTGATCAGTAAGAGATTAGCATTACGTGCAACCATGCCTAAGTAACCGGATATAAGACGTGCTTCTGGGCCAATAGGTTGACCGACATCGTTTCTTGAAACTTTCACACGGTGCCCAGGAGGGAGTTAGTATAATTCCTTCAACATTATACGTCCTCTAATCTTGCGTGTTCGACCATTTTCAACTATATAAAAAATAATTAAATGTAAGTTTTCAAAATGAACCATCAATTAAAAAAAGTGTCAAGTATTACCTTCAATTTCTACAGCTTCTTCAACAATAATCGAAACTTGATTTAACAACAATAAAATTGGTTTCATTGTAACATTTTGATCTTAAAATACGGGAACTTGATCTTTGATTACGAGTTTCAATTCTAAAATTATCCCTTGCTGACTCTATTTTTAGGGGTAAATTAAATATATTATCGTTTTTGTGAGAATGCAGTACAAATTAAATATATTTTGTGGCAAAAAACAATTTCCTTGGTTAGCTCAATGGCCGAGTCTTCTCCTTTTCTCCAGCAGGGAATGGGTTTAATTCCCACATTAAGCATACATTTGGATTTAATTTTATTTCAATAGGGTGATGACAAAATAATATTTGATTGCTAACGTGAAAGTATAAAAATATTAAAACGTGAAAGTAAAAAAAATATTAAAAAAATATCACAACATGCCATATTATCTATATCGTTAAGTTTTTAAGGGCATGGTACTAAGATGAAATTAAAAATTAAGTATGATTTTTTTAAAAATTAGAAGTTCAGGTACTAAAACGTATCAAAAATGAATCTTTAAATACTAAACACGGAATTCACCCTAAATATTTTGACATAATCTCTTAATTTATATATGCATAAGACACACATTTATATTAGTAAAAATAGTTAATGGACTTCAAAGGTTAGGATGAATATCATAGATAATTTTGAAAGCTAAATTAATACAAATAACGATAAAAATAGAAATAATTATCGAAAAAGATTAAAATAATAAATTGAATTTACTACTGCTTTAACAGTGACTTAAGGAAATAAAATAATTATATTTTGATGCCGAAACGGCGTTCTTGAACAGTTCAGAATATATTTAGTATTATTATGGCACGGCATGTTTGACTCCCTTTATTTTTAATTTATTTATGCTTCAAAGTTCTGAATATCCAACTGCAACAAATTTTCTAAATAAAACATAATGGGATAGACTTGATCAGATGTCACAACTCATAGAAAATAGCTAAATATTGCTATTGCTTAACATTGACGAGTCGTAAATCAGGACTGAATGAAGTGAACGAAATAATTACGAAAACATCGTATTCAAATTCAATATAAGAATTTAAAATAGAAAAGATCAATATGATAATATATAAACATCATCTTGATCAATCATGGTAATATCAAAATAAGAATATACACTAAAACAACGATCAAATGATCAAAAATATACTATAAAGATAGAGAAAATATACTACAAAGACTGAGAAAATATACCATACAGACAATATTATTAAAACTAAAAGAATTTGAAAATAATAAAATAAACTGATGATTGCCGGGGCCGATACCATCACGGACGTTGTAAAGATTGAAGAAAAAGGTTTAACGGCGCAAATATAGAGAAGAAACTAGGGTTGAAGATTCAATGTTCTTTTATGATATCTTTAAATATGAAGTAGAAATTGTCTTTCCAGCTTAGTTGGTAGAACGCAATGCTCTTAACTTTGTGGTCGTGGGATCGAATTTCACGGTGGGCAATTCATAATTGTCGGATGTCTTCCACAGAAGTTGTTCTCAACCTAGCGTTGGGGGCAACCTACTACCGTACCTCCCCTTACCCCATTATATATGGGAATAAAGTCAGAAAATTATTTAAATATGAAAATAGATATATTAAGTATATTATTTAAAATATATTAAAACATAATTTTGACTAATATAACTATATAGATAAAATTATATGTTATCCCACGGTGGGTAATTCATAATTACCGGAGGTCTTCCATGGAAGTTGCTCTCAACCTAGCGTTGGGGGCAGCCTACTACCCTATCTCCCCTTTATCCCATTACATATGGGAATATGGTCAGCTAATTTTTTTATATGTTATCGCATTTAATATAATAGTATATATAGATAAAATTATATGTTATCACATTCAAAACATTTTTTATTAATATGATAAGTATAAGGTAGTATCTGTTCATAGATAAATTTATTGGGTTTAGGGATGATAATTTAATCCGAAATCAATAAGTTTTGACCCACCCTGATCCGATAGGGTCGGATTTAAAAAAATTGGGTTTGGGTCGGGTCAAATATTTTAAGGGGTGATGTTGAGTTTGGTCGGGTTCGGGTAGAGGGTTAAAAAACTCCGACCCAACCCAACTCGATGATAATAATATAATTTCTTTTTAAAAATTTATTATTATTTTAATTAAGTCATTATTTTATACCAGGTCGCGTAGAGTTTATACTCTAAAAATTTGGATCGAGTTGGAGCTGAATGAATTATGTATAATTTTCGGGTAGGATCATATTCATGTGGATAATACATATTTTCGGGTCGAGTCGGGTTCAGATGGAGCATAATTTTGGGTCTTGGGTCGAATGTAGGATATATAATTTTCGGGTTGAATTAAGTGAAGAATACATTTTTCAGGTCTTGTCGATTTATAGAAAAGCCGACCCTAATCCGACCCACTACCGTCCCTAGTTGGGTTTAACTAAAGTTTCAAGTTTAAGTGATTGTGGGTTTGGGCCTACCTAAGTTTTGACCTACCTCATGCCTAAATTTTTTTTATTACAGGCCAACCCAAATGTAGAGATTTTTAAAGTATTTAAACTGTCAAAATCTCTAAATAAAAAAAACAGTTATACATATAAATTTAAATTCACGTTCTCTATAATATTATTATAATAATTATATAAATAACGCTAAAATTTAATTAATAAAAATTAATATATATATTATCTATGTTAATTTATTAAATAAATTTTAAAATTATTTTTAAATGAATATCTCATTCCACCGTATAACCTACAATATGATTGTAATGTAATCTATTTTTCTATTAATTTAGGGTAATTTTGTAATTATAAAATAATAATCATTTAAAACAAATTTTAATCACCAACAACCAATTGATATAGTGAGATGAGACACTAGATATTTTAAACAAGGTTAGGAGTTCGAATCCTGACGATTGTGAATGAAACAAACTAGGTTTTGGAGGATCGCCCTTGCCTCTTCAATTCTCGATCCGAATTAATTGATCAATAGATCAGACACTTGTGATTATAAAAATAAATAAATTTTAATCGTTGATAGCAAAATTGTATTAAGAGGAATGGTCAGGGATAAATATAATCGTCCTTATGAATAATTGAACTTCTTATCTATTTTGAATTTTTTTATATTATTCTTTAAATAATTGAATTTTATCTTCTAGAGTTTTATATATTAAATATTATAATTTTTTTGATTGAAAATATTATAAAATTTTAAAAATGAGTCCCTAGCGTAAGAATTTGCATACTGATACTGTTGACGGGACAACTAATATATCTTTTAATGGATATTTTAAAGTTTATGGCGTCTAAACAACATAACTAACATTTTCTCTATTTTGACCAGTTGAATGTTTACTTAATTATTGATTTAAAATTTCACTGAAATCAACCCACGCGTTCCCAAAACTCATAAAGGAATCTACGACTGTTCTTAATCTTTGGGACACGTGGACGTAGATTATGCCGAGTGGTCAACAAGGCCGAAATTGTCAGATATTGGATTCTTGTGAAGCGCGTGGCATAACGGTGCATCGTCGACCGGTCTTATGCTATCGTCACCGCCCCCGTCACCTTCTTCTCATTTGAAATGACAGGCACAACACCGTCATTCAACCGCCCGAACTTTAAATCTTAGAGAGACACAACAGGCAAAATTACCTAGATAAGTAATAGGTTGAAAAACAAAATTACTTTGTACAAGATGTTGAGTAAATTATTTTTACATATATAATTGTTATCACATTACTATTAATATTATAGTTTGAACAGTGTCTGCTTCAGAAATGGTCAGGTTAGTCGAATGTTTTCCGTGGTATATTGTAGCAATGATCTTATATGAAAAATAATTTCTTCAATCGATTATATAAAAAAATATTATGTCCGAAATTTATTAAGAATAATATTTTCTTTTCTACAAATAATATCGTATAGTGAATTGTTATAACATTTACTTTAATTTAAATTAATAATAAATAGTAAATCATTATCAACCGTCTCTTCCTTTTTTTAGTCTATTTTTTTATATTTTCTCTTTAATTTTTATTTAGCCGACAACAACATTAATCTTAATGTCGGTTGGCGATCGTCGGTGACTATTAATTTTTTATTTTATGTATCTTGTCTTATCTTTTATTTTTTTTTTCTTTTTTGAGTCTTTTTAATTTTGAATAAAAATCTATGTTATTGTGACATGTTTATATATATATATATATATATATATATATATAGAGGCTGATTTTTTGCAATAATGCAATCGAAAAAAATTGTTCGAATAATGCACCTAAAAGATTATTTGCTAAAAAAAGATGAATGCTACAGTATCGAACGGAGTCGCATTGTGCTCCCCGCGTCTTTCCAATGTCGCATGGAACACCATGCAACAACTCCTCCCACGAATCACTCGGGTGATTCGTAATAAGCATTACAAAATTAAAGGCTTTGTAATAAGCATTCAAAAGGCTAAAATATTGGGGGGTAAGACACATGGTGATTCAGGGGAGGGAGAGCCGTATGGTGTTCCATGCGATCTTGAGGAGACGTAGGGAGCACAATGCGACTCCATTCTATACTGTAGCATTCACCTCATTCGAGCAAATAATCTCTCGAGTGCATTATTTAAACAAATTTTTTCTAGTACGTTATTGTAGACATTCAGCTTATATATATATATATATATGAAGTTATTAAGTATTTTTTTAATTGTTTTGGTAGTTGCGTTGCGTACGTATACATTTTTATAATTTATTAATTTAGAAGGTGGAATACAAAGACAGCAGACAAACAATTTTCAACGGCCTTTTAGGGGAACACATTACATAATACGAGCCCGTCTAATTACTCTTAATTTTTCTTATTTAAAACAAAAATAATATTTTGACCAGTGTGATCAAGGGATTAAAAGGGTCGACACAACTGCACATTATCGATACTTATTGTTTTTCCTTTCCATTTTGGTCTTTGATAAGATTTATTTTCAAAGTTGTTGACAAGTGTACATGATTTTAATATTTGTAATTGTTTTTAGTTTCACAATAGGACCACTTTGATAAAATTATTGATTATTGAAGATGAATTCATCAATTAATATCTAAAATAATATATTTTTAAAATAATTATTTTTAGTCTATATTCCTATTTTTTCTTCTTCTTATTTTCATTAAAAAAAATATGTTTTGTTCGTATCTGTGGAGTAGACTCGACTAAGAGACAATTGCGAACTCAAAGGCAACAGAATATAAGCATGGCAACTCAACCAATTGGCTGATGGTTTTATACAACTTCAACGTCTACCCCATAGCCAGTCTTTGCTTCCGTTTTCATTCTCTCTTTTTTTTCTTTTAGGTTTAAAAATGAACTTTTTCCATAATAGACTTTAGTAAGATATAATTCAAATTAATATTTATAGGGTCGTCTTGGACATTTTCAAGATACGGAACAAAAACTAAAAGACAAGTCATACAAAACTATAATATATTATATTATTTTGAATAATTAATTTAATATGATGTTAATAAATCATAGAAAAATAATTAAAAAAGTATGAGCTATTGGTTAAAAATATAGAAAATATGGACTATTTTATAAAATTGAGAAAAAAATTAGGGCCCCTTAATTATAAATCTCGAGCGAAAACTCAAAAACAAGCCTTATAGAATGAAAATATATTCTATTATTTTGAACGATTAATTTAATATTATATTAATAAACAATAAAAATAATTAAGTTATGACTCATCAATTATAAAAGTAGAAAGTAAAGACTATTTTATAGAACTAAAAAAATTTAAGAGATCTTAATTATAAAATTTAAAAGTGCCCCTACCGCTTATGGTGCTCATATATATATAGGGGCGGGATCCTATTATCAAGGGCGGACCTATGAGTAGCCCGGACAACCCCTCAAATTTCTCCGAATAGTGTTAATTTTGCTTATCCTAAAGTTTTGTCCTGACAAAGGGGCAACCCCTAGTTCTCTAAACACAATCTGGTTCCATATTTCAGTTTAGTTCTCATGGAATTTTTTGTGTGCAACAAAATTGTTTACTTAGTGTTAATTTTTTCTAATTTTTTTAATTAACACAAGTGCCACCCATAATATTGTGCAACCTCTAAAAAAATTTATAAGAGTTTTTTTGTGCAACCCCTGAATTTTTGTCTTGGGTCTGCCTCTGCCTATTATATCCGGTGTAAAACTCACCTTTTTAGAACTATTAGATGAGGAAAAACAAATGCTGAAATTAACAGTAGAAATGAGAAATAATCACTGAAAATGAGAGAGTTAAACTCAGCTTTTGATTTAACTCATCCAACTGTATTAAAAAATTGTAAAACTCTTAGTTGAATTATTTTTAAAGTAAAAATGTTTTTAAACCCATACATATAATATTAAACAAAAAGAACTACAATAGATGATGGATACAAGAAGAGTTAAGAAAACAATACTTGTAAATTGAAATAATTTATTATTATTTCATTTAATTTGATATAATATTCACTCTTACTTGCATTAAGAATGATTAGAAGAAAAAAACAATTTATTATATGTATGATTAGAAGAGTTAAGACTTTTTATTTATTTTTGAATTTAGAGTACTGCATTGGCAACCACCGAGTAGCAAGCTACAATTATTCTGGTCAATTCAACGTTTTGGAGCCGACACCAGCCATCACAAGGCGATGGTTTGTTGGGGGAAGTATCTGAGAAAAAAGGTCAGTGTTTAGGTGGGGAAGAAAAGGCATAGTGGCCTCCCTTGCGAAGACAAAAATGTTTGATTAAATTATTCTGTTTGTCGTTTTGGAAAAGGGAGAAACTAATTAGATTTTGATGTTTTTCCAATGTCTTGTTTAATAATTAATCATCCTCTGATTATGAATTGGTTCAAGGGTCGTGTAATCATTTTCCGGCCAGCCAAACAGTGATATCCAACAACGATAGAACTAGTCCAAACGATTTGGTGCCTTGAATTATTTTCGTGGCTGTTTATGGTTCTATTGTGTTTGTAGGAGTAGAAATCTCATTCTAAGAGGTGTAATGGAGTAATTTAATTAATAATTATCATGTTTAAAGGGATGATGTGTTATGTATCATATAATTTAAAGTAACGACGTTTATTTGTTGCGTCACTTAAGGTGATAACGTGTCCTCTGTCACGTTATCGAAGTGATGACGTGTTGTGTGTCACTTAAATAAACGGTCCGGAAATTTTACATCCTCCACCCGACCTGAACTCGACCTGACTTTTTGAGATAATTCCGAACTCAACATGACCCGAAATAATATATTTATTAAAAAAAAAATTATTTTTATTCAATAAAAACAGAGATTTAATTGAAAAAATAATATATAGAGGGGTATTATTGTAATTATTCTTAAATATATAAGGTAAAAATATAATTTTTTGGGTTGGATCGAGTATTTTCACCCTAAACCTGACCTGACCCAAACATTAACTCTAAAAAATCTGACATGTCCCAACCCGAACCCAATTTTTTTTTTAAAAGAAAAGTCTTACCCGACCCGAAATCCGTCAGGTCCCATGCCATCCCTAGTCACGTTATCAATTCAACAAATTTTAAAAATATGTTGCCAGCAACATATGCTAATCGCAGTTTCCATCCAATATTAGTTATTTAAAAAATACGTTTCTAACTCTCACCCGAACGCAGCCCCTGTATCCCATAGTTATTGCAGTAACAGCATACGATAAGAACTCACCCAAAAAAGTACCCAATTGCCGAGCCATTGCATATGATATAAAACCAGTCGGTAGTTTGTTTATAAGAATCCAGAAATTTGCATTGTGGAGCGGGACTCTCATCGGGTCTTCCCCTTATTGTAAATGGTGGCATAGCAGAATGTGCGAAATATAGCACTAAGGACCTTCATTGACAATCCTATCAACATCAAAGGCAAGGTATAATCGGAACAGGTAGCGATTCTCCCCCAACTCTATTATGGAAATTCCTCCAATTGGACGCCAAACATTGGCAACCATTGTTTTCATTGCATTGAAATTTAATTAACTAGACGTTATAAACGTCCCAACCAAACAATTCTCAACTGATATACTTTTCGTTCCCCCTTGTTCTATAATTATGGCCTCCTCCTCCTCATCCCCTATATTCATCTATTCCAAATCATCCATGCTCCAGAACAGAAACAAGTAAATCTACTCCTTTATTGTTTGTTATGAGATCACAAGCGCACGAGAAACAAAACTCAAAGACAATCAACAACCGAGAGAATAAGGGCAAAAACCCTAGAAAACCTTTTTTTTTAGAGTTTTTATTTTTAACATATCTTTGACATGATTAACATCCTGTTAAAAAATATATTTTTTTTATAAACATTCTTACCATAAAATAATAGAAGTCTATATTTACTTGTTAAAAAATATTTGTTGCAATGGTTATATATAAATAATTTTACACATATTAGAAGCAAAAAAACATGTAGACGTCAACTTTACAAAAGATTACTAATTATATATATAATATTTAAGCACATGCAAAACAAGATATCGTAAATCAAATAAAAAAAGAGGATAATTATTAATTATAAAGAACGAGTGCCACGTAAGAAAGAGGGAATCGTGAGCCATCAAACTCGCCGAGTTAATTTTTGTATTAATAAAAAAAATCAATATTTTATTACGCTTTGCCTTATATAATGTAGAGGCAAATTGATTCCTGGAAGAACTATTCTCTCTTGGCTTCATTACCTAAAAGCCTTAAAAATCTCTTATCTTGTCAACTCAACCATTCAACCTCCCTTTGCTCTTTGTTTTTTGTTGTATATCTTCTGGTTTTGGGCTTCTTTGAAAGAGGAGTTTTAACAGATTCTCCATTCAGGAAAAAGGAAAAGAAAAAAGAAAGCTCTGTGTTGATCAAATTGCACGTAAAAGAGACTTGTCAACTACCTGGTATGTTCTTATTTTCTGGGCTGGATTTTGTTTTCAACTTTGGATTCCGGGATTTATGCAGTGCCTCGCGGTTTTCAACTTTCTGATTCTTCCACGCTTCATTTTGTAGGTTCTTTTTCTTTTTTGTTATGAGATTTCAAGTTTCAAAACTGTTCCCTGCTTAGCTTCTCTCTTCTTCTATAATTTGGAAATTTCAACTTGTTTTTCTTTTTTTCAGCTGAACTTGGACCGTTGGGGCTTTGAAAACTGAGCTTTTCTGGATTTAAGTTTCTTTGAAATCCTCACCCGGTTCAACAAGTAGCTTAAGAAAGCTGGTGCTGCGTTTGGGTGTTTTATCTTTTTCCCTCTTGTTGGGACCATGTAAACCCATGTCCCTCATGCTTTTAACAATCTAGCGTCAGTTTGTTTTGATTCCAAATTATTCATTTTAGGCAACCAAATAAAGAAATTTAACAACCCATAATTAATCTGGTTTGCTGGATGATATGAAAAGATTTAACATGTTTTCTGCGTTTGAGACTTTGAGATATGCATTTTGGGCTATCAATTTGATATGACATGTGTAGGGTTTGTGTGCCCCACCGTTGGAAGATAAATGCTCATTATTTCATGTAGGTTTAAAGGGGTTTTGAGCACATAAAGATTTGTTTACCACTTGTGGAATTGAATGGAAAAGATGCCTTCATGCATAATCTTATGATATAGTATTTTGCTTGAGGTAGAAGCATGGAGCTTGTAATAATTATCCATCAAAATTTGGTAGCTGGGATGGGAACTTTGATTACACTAATTGTTGGAAATATAGTATTTTGGTGTTTCAATTAAGATTTTCGTGATTCTAATCTGGTATTTCTTTCACAGATTTAGGTAGCAGATGGCCATTGAACAGTGCTTAGAAGATGCTAATGACCCTTTAAGTGGAGAGGGTAAAAATTCCTTGAACAAGTGGGAAAATTCATCTAGTTCTGATGACGATCCCTCCGCCAGTTTCGACTGCGACATCTGCCTCGACTCGGTGCGAGATCCGGTGGTTACTCTATGCGGTCACCTGTATTGTTGGCCTTGCATTTACAAATGGCTTCGTTTTCAAACCATATCCACTGAAGACCTGGACCATAATCATCAGCAGTGTCCGGTTTGCAAAGCTGAAGTTTCACATGAGACGCTGATTCCGCTCTACGGAAGGGGCCTAACGACCAAGGCATCCACAGACAATACTCCGAACCGACCTCTCGGTCCTACCAGTGGCCTTGGCATGATAAGGTCACTTAATACTACCACCGATGATCTACAGTTTCGGCAGCCATTCGATCACCATAGTTACTCATATCAACCACAAATCTACCACACTCAACAGGGAGGATATCCCGATTCGTCGATGCCTAGTCCTGGTGGCATGGAGATAAGTGTACCAGATCCGGTGACCCGAATGCTCGGCGAGATGGTATACACAAGGGTATTCGGGAACTCGATGACGGATTTACATACGTACCCGAATTCATACAATCTGGGAGGGAGCACTAGTCGTAGGATCAGAAGGCAATTAATGAAAGCCGATAAGTCGCTGAGCAGAATAAGTTATTTCCTCTGCTGCTGCGTATTGTTCTGTCTTCTTTTGTTCTGATTTTCAGTTCTCTGCTTTTGTCGGAAGAATTATACCTGTATAGGAGAACAAAAGCATACAAAGTTCAGCCGGATGCAGTAATAACACAGTATGAGATGTTGCCATCTCCTGTGCTGCTTATAGCATTTATATGTAATTGTAAGTTAATAATGTAGACTCTTTGCATGATTGTTGTTACAGTTAAAACTTACTTATCTATAATCCTTTTAGTATAACCACCGATTTATTGATTGACTAATTAGAATCAACCACATGTATTCAATTTATTAATTGACTAATTAGAATCAAATATCACATAGACGACGACCATCTTTCTAATCCTTTTTTAAATTTAACAACTTAAAGTTATAGTTTTTTTTTAAATAATTTAATCTTTTAGAAAAATTACTTTTTTTAATTGAATTTTTTTTTTAAATTATCACATTTTTAATGCAAAGTAGTGGTGAAATCGACTGCATTCAGTTTTTTAAGTTTTCGACTACCGACGATAATCATATTTATTCTCGATCGCCATGTCCCATTGTTAATTGACTGAATAATCCGTATTAGTACATTTAGGTAATTAAATTGATGCTTAACGGAGCACGTGAGATTTCTTCTAAACCTCAGGCACTAACAAGGGCTTTATTGAGAAATAATTCTTTTTAGTTTTATTTATATTTTTTTAAAGTTAAAGTTTAAGATTTAAATTTTAGGGTCTACAATTTATAAAAAAAATATTGTTTTACTATGAATTAAATAAATATTTGTTTATATAAATTTTAATTAAATATAAATTATTTATTTATTTATTTAAATCTAATAGTAATAAATTAGTATAAAACTTATTAAGTAATTTCACCGAAAACTATCCCTATATAAAAGTTTCATGAAATGATATGTCTGCTTTAAGGTGAATATATATCGATGATAACAAAATGGAATCTACCCAGAAACAGAAAAAGGAGAGAAAACCCCAGAAATGAATATAGGCATTGTTCGGTAAATTGTTGCAGATAGAAAATAAAAAAGAATCCATTAGATCATATGGTAAACAAATGTAGGAAAATAAAGCCAAACAGAAAAATACAATTGTGATCTCAAATCCCAAAATAATAAGGCGTTCAAACGACATCGAAGATTAACTCAAAACTTTTCAGAAAGAACCCCCACAAAAGGAAGAGAAAACAGGACTGAATCCATCAGAACTTAAATAAACCCCCCCCAAAAAGTAAGAAAAACGACAGAGATCTCTACATGGTGTAGGGAAAAAAATGAAGCTACGATAAGGAAGACGAAACAAAAGAAATCATCAACCCCTGATGCGCTTGACTTTGTTCCAGCCTTTCTTGCACGACTCTCCCACTATTTTCACGCCCTTTTTGAAGAAAACCTTGAGTTCCTTGGCTCTCTCTTTTACTTGCTGCTCGAACCCGGCCATCGAACCAGAGCTTCAAACGAACAATGAAAGTCTGAGTTTTGGTTGCTGCGTTTGTGTGAAATGATTGCTGTCACTGAGAGGAAACTCCCACTGTTGTTTTTAAGCAGGGAATGCGAGCTCAGGTCTCGTTGGATCCAACGAATCAAGAGACACGTGGCGGAGATCTGATGGTTGATGAAGACGTTGATTGCGGGCTAAGCATGGAATGAAAAAGATACGTGGGATGATGATGGATTGGTTTCCCCTTTTTCATGGTCCCATAACCCAACTTTAAAATTTAAACAAAAACCATAAATTACAGAGTAAACTACACATTTTGCCCCTAAACTTTTACAATGTTTTTTATTTTGACTACCTAACTTTAATAATTTTCATTTAAGTCTTAAAGAACTCTAGTGGGCATTGATAGAGCTGTAAATGAACAAGACATTCGATGAAATATTCAATGAATCATTCATATAATGTTTGTTTATATTTGTTTATTAAGCTAAATAAGCTAGTATGAATAAAATTTCTATGTTCATATAATATAAAAACTATCACGAATAGATATATGTTTAGTTTATTTATGTTCACAAACAAACTTGTTTGAAAGCTTATTTATCGATTTATTTATAAAATCATTTACCCAATTCTCATTTTTTTTATATGTTTTAAATATTAGTGAAGAGTTCAACTAAATTGAATATAATGAACTTTGGAGTTCAAACCGTAAAGCCTAAGAAGACTAATGAGTAGTAGCATAGTTTCACCATTTTTCTTTAGCTTAAGGTAAAAAGAGAATGTTGGTTGTGGAGTAAATTGAACAAATGAATATATTCGTGCTAAATAAATATATTGACAAACATACATATAAATATGTCCGCAAATATTAAACGAACATATTCTTAAATAATAAATGAATCAAATATAAACACTTTTAAAAAAAATAAATAAAACGAACACAAAAAACAATCTCATTCGTTTAAGTATAGTTCATTTATATATCTAAACTTTAAAAACCAAAGGGTCCCATTCCAATTTAAATAACTGGTTGGCTAACTGGCTTTGCCTTTATTGAGCACAGCACAGCACAACACAACACAACACTAAAACAAAACTATTAGCGCACAGATCATAGGCGCCTCAAAAGGTTTAAAATTTGTTTATTAAAAGAGAGAGATTAATAATCATTGATCAAATAAACCGTTGGCACAACAGCTCATTGGTCAGGGATTAACGTATTTTTAAGACACAATCAACCAATAATATAACTTTTTAAGAAATACCGAGATAAATTTATACAATTTTGAATGGTGTTAAAGTTAAAAAATAAATAAAAGACAAAAATTAAATAATTAATTAATAAGAGGGGTCAAGAGATAATTTCTCATATTGATAAAGAGTTAAAAGATTTTAAATTTATTATTAATATTTGTGATGGACTAAAAGAGTAATTTGACCATTTAATCAAGAGGACTACTGATCCCAATTTGTCTCTGTCTTTGCTGACATCTAATCTGGTGTTTAAACTTTAACCCCACTCTAACTAGTTATTGGTAAATTGACAAAACAATCCTACATTGTTATCAGATATTTAGTTGATCCAATATTGCATTACACACTACATTATAAGCAAGAGCGAATGCAGTGACTTTAGCCTCCCAAAATTAGAAAAATTATCTTCTAATCCCTTTACAAATAATTAATTTTTAAATTAGTATAATTACAAAATTGTATTTTAAGCCTAAAATTTTAATTCAGTTTTGGTCCTCCTATATTAAAAAAGCTCCCTTCAAGATTAAGGTATTAATATGGGTGATTTGGTAAAATAATAAAATTGAGCTAGCTTCAAGGCTAAGGTATTAAGACCCCTCATAATAATAACAATAATATATAAATAATAAATGAAAAAAAATCCACAAAGGGTTTAGGGGGCATGTGTTGGCTTCGTCATGTACTCTGTATATTTTGTTTGATTCATCAAACCCATATGGAATGGGAAGGCACATCCTATTTGTACGGTGAAAAAAATTCGATTCGACTCAAAAAATATTTTTTTAATTTTAAATTATTCGAGTTATTTGAGTAAAGGTAGCTCCTGACTCGAGGGGAAAGAAATAGCCTATGAAAGAGATAGTCTCCAATTTAAATTATCAATTCAATTTTCGAGTTCGAATCAAGTTGAGAATTGAAAATTTTGACTTACTCAAAAAATCAACTAATTATTTTGACAGTTTTATGATTTGATGATTGATTTTCTTTTATTTCTTTTATTTATTTTTTAGGGCCGTGACCTCCACGGACCACATGTCTCTCTTGCATTCCATCCCCATCTAAATTCTAATCCTTGAAATCTAAGAATTTATGTAAACTTCAATTATATAATTATGTATCAAATATTTTTTTAAAAAAATATGATTTGTTAAAAGATGTAATCTCAAATTCATAATTATTAATTCACAATTGTAAAATTGTGAATTTGGGTACTAGCGATGGTGCTTATAGGAGCTGAAGTTGCAAATTTTTTTTTTTTGATTTTCTAGTAACTTGTAAGATATTAGTAATAGAAAGAAAAACTCATTAACATGGATACAAGCTTTAGCAAAATGCTTTAAAACTCATAATAATATTCCCCTCAATTTCATAAAGAGTAACCCTTATCGTATAAATAGTTACTCATTGTATAGTTTTTTCGGATAATATTTATTGGTTTCATAAAAATTACGTGAGCTGAAGTTGCAATAATTCTTTGACTTTTAAGAATGTAACAATTAGTAAAATATATTAATAATATAAAAAGAAACTTATGAAGCATGCAGTCACGAATCTAAAAATATTTTTAAGGCAGAAACATCTCTATTAATAATAAAAAATTTCGTATGGGCAGACACAAATAAATTTTAAGAGTGAACACCTTTAGTAAAATGAACAACTAATATAAAGAAATCCGAATTCCAGGATGGACAAAATAAAATTTTATGATTGACACATTTAGTAAAATGAACCACTAATATAAAGTAATTCGAATTCTAGAATGAACATTTGCACACTTGAGATGTACATGCATCCACCGGTGGAAGCACGTAGATAAGTCATGACATTAAAAAATTATAAAATATTCAGCTTAATTTTATGTGCCCTTAGTATAGAATACCATGTTTCAAATACTCGACATGAATCTTTATCTAAATTGGATAACGTAGATAATTTACTTTTACCTCAATACAAAATAATTCTCTTATATAATTTAGATAATTTACTTTATAAAAGTTAGTTACTCTAATATTGTTTTTTTTTGCATGCAAAACATATAAGCATTATACAAATCATGTGAGCTGAAGTTGCAAAACATGTTTGATTTCTAAGCAGCTTGTTAGAAGTAATAGATATTAATAACAATGTGCCGAGACAATCTGTAACAAAATACTTAAAAAAGTACAAGAATATTATCTTAAATTTCAAGAGCCCTTAGTATTCAAAATCACGTTCCATTGATAATGTATATGTAATATATAGACGTAATTGTTTGAATTTAAATTTTTTATAAATAATAATATTTTTTATCACTAAAATTATTTATTGTGTTCGACAAATATAATTTTTTTGAAGTATTACAAGTAGGCAGTTGGATGCTGGGATTAATTGTATAGTTCGTAGTAGGATTGTAAACGAGCTAAGTCGAGCTCGAGTAAACTTTAAAATTAAGCTTGACTCGTCTCAATGACTCGTGAATTCAAAATAATCAAGCTCAACTTGAAATCGAAATAAAAAAATTGAAACTCGATTTGACTTGAAAGCCTATGAACTTAAAATTTTTAAACTCCACTCGAAATAAAAAATTGAAACTCAACTCAAACTTGAACCAGAACTTTAAGTACATGAAAATTTTATATTGTATTTTTTAAATAACATATAAATGTTAATATTATTAAAAACTTAATTAAAAAATTAAAATTTTAATATATTATTTTTTTCTAGTTGCTCGCGAGCTTTTCGAATCGAGTATTAAGTAACTCTTTTTGACTCGTTAAGAATTCAATTTAAATTCAAACTCGATTCAAATATATTCGATTTGAGTATTAATCAAAATTTAACCGATCAACCTCGAATAACTCACAATCTATTTTGCCTCATTTATAACCTAGTTCGTAAGATTTATTTTGTCTCATTTATAACCTATTTCTTAAGATTGATTAATCGAGGTTTGAAGAATAGGGGCCATACTCATATTTGGAAATTGGAATATTCAATAGGTGGGACCTTCAATAATTGAGGCAAATGAAGGTGACAAAAGCAAGAGAAAGGGATACTTCCATGGAAAACCCTTAAAATAAGCAAACCACTCCACCCTTCATGTGGAAGCTACATTGGTGCGACCTTTTTCTAACCATGGGCCATTGACCAACTGGGAATCCATGGCTTTTTTTAATAAATAATACACAAATATTTTTATTTTGATATCTAAAATATTTTTTACAATGCATGAAATTAATCACATTGAGGCGACGAGTTTTAATAATTTTTTTATTTAAACTCTTTTTTCCTCAAAATGATAAATTTTAATAAAAAATTATATTTTTAGAACTCATCTTTGAATAAAAATTATTATTTTTAGAACTCGTCATCTCGACGTGATGCGTTCTAATAAACACGGTAGAAAACGTCGTAGATCTCAAAATAAACTTCAACTTACCCTATTTTACCAAATAATTTACTTGTTTGTCTTATTGGGCCAAAAAACCTAACCCATGCCGAGAATCGGACTTACGGGCCAATATGTGTAGACCTAATTTTTACTATGTGAGGTTGAGTAGACCCATCTACCCTAGCTCTGAACATAGATTTTTTAATTCTTATGGGATCTGTTGAGGGTTTTTTTTAGTCCCAATAGGGTAAAGCTATAAAAAAAACTAGTCCAATAGGATATGTGAAAGTTTATTTTAGGATCTACAATATATGTTACAGGTGTTGAAGAAGCTTATCATGTCAATGTGATAAGGTGAGGAGTTTGTCCAAATGATATTTTTTATTCAAACTTAAACTCAACAAGTCGAGGTGACGATTTCTAATAAAATATAATTTTTTTATTAAATTTTATCATATCAGAATAAAATTTTTTTATTAAAACTCGTCACTTCAACATGATTAGTTTCTATTATCACTGTAGCAAATGTTATATATCCCAAAATAGATTTCTAATACCCTGTTGGGCTAAATAATAAACCAAAATTTCCTATTGGGCCAAAAAAAGCATTTGTTGATTTTTTTTAAATCATATTAATTGGCTTGTATGGTTCCCAATTTCTAAACCCTTTTTTTGGTCTCGTTTGCACACTCATCCAAAATCAAGAGGTCAATCCATATTCTTGGAAATGTGTAACACCAGTTCAAAATAAATAAAAAATAATCCTATTCACTGATAGATAATACTTAGAAATTTATAATTTTAAAAATATCCTTCAAGAAGCATATGCTGCCATACCAAATCCAGAGGAGATATGGCTTGCTGCATTTGAGCTCGAGTTTGAAAACCATGAGCCTGAGAGAGCAAGAATACTTCTTGCCAAGGCTCGAGAGAGAGGAGGCACGGAGAGAGTATGGATGAAATCAGCCATTGTGGAGAGAGAATTGGGCAACACTGAAGAAGAGAGAAGGTTGCTTGATGAAGGATTGAAGCAATTCCCATCATTCTTTAAACTGTGGTTGATGCTTGGGCAGCTTGAGGAACGGCTTGGTATCTTAGAAAAGGCCAAGGGAGTTTATGAATCAGGTTTAAAGAACTGCCCAAGTTGTATACCACGATGGGTTTCTCTTGCCACACTTGAAGAGAAAATGAATGGGATTGCTAAGGCTCGAGCTGTCCTCATGCTGGCAAGGAAGAGGAACCCGCAACAACTTGAACTCTGGCTCGCTGCCATACGAGCTGAGGCAAGACATGGTCACAAGAGCTATTTTGGCATGATAGGAAGGTGGATAAAGCTAGGACTTGGCTCAATAGGGCTGTAACTCTTGCTCCATTTATTGGGGATTTCTGGGCATTGAACTACAAATTTGAACTTCAGCATGGTAGTGAGGAGAACCAGAAAGATGTAATGAAAAGGTGTGCTGCCGCAGAACCAGAGCGCGGTGAGAAAGGGCAAGCTATTTCAAAGGCTGTGGAGAACTCTCACATACTTACTGAATCCATTTTAAAGAAAGTAGTGGTTGCATTGGGCAAGGAAGAGAGTGCTGCGGAAAACAATGCAAAACAACAGTAAACACTAATTACTTTAAAGGTTTAGCTGCTCTTGTATGAAAGTTTGATTTTTCAATGAACTAGGACAGCTGAATCAGTTCTGAATCATGTTTTCTTTGGTTTTTGGGCATTATGGAGAAAACTATGTTCTACTTTAGCATGTATACTAGCGTCTTGAATCAATTCTGGCGATTGTTCTCTCTAGTTTTTGGGCATGTACTTCGAAAATAATGTTCTATAATGATGATTTAGCATATATATACTGGAGTATTGCTTCAGGTTACTTATCATTTTGTCCAGAGATATAACGTTATGATCAACTTTGGAGTTTGATTTGCTGTGTGGATATCAACTTTGTTTAGGTAGACTAGAAGGATTAATCCTGATCGTCATATTAGAACGACCTCCCAATGCTCTTCATATGTCACCATAGTTCTAATCTGAAGACAGTTTGAAATTATCATTAGGGTGTATTATTGACTCGTGCAAAGTTTAGTGTATATAATATCAGGTGTCAAGAATGAACTTTGAAATGCGTATGCTATACCTTTATCGTGTAGTGTGGTACTCATACAATCCATGTTGGAGTTGGATCCTGACTATTTTGTGGTCGGAACTTGAAAAAAGCATTGATCTCGTATGTTTGGTTGAAGGGAAAAAAGTGATATTTTTGTATCGTGTTATTTAGCACAACTCTTCGTTACCAAAAAGTTAAAATTAACTGTAAAAAATATATAGATAGTTTGTTGATGGGAACAAGTTTGGCTTGTCGATCGTTGTCGGTTTATTTTTTCTGGCTTGGGTTGAGAGCAGCGGTCATTAAATTGTGAGAAAGGGATTGTCATGAGGAGGAGGAAGGGTGGTTGTTAAGGGACCTAACCCATCCTTCAATTGTCTATAGAAATATTTATAATAACCTTCAGAGCGAGTGTCGGTCGTAGGTTTATAATGAATATTTATAAAAACCTTTAGAGCGAGTGTCTGCCGTAGGTTTATTATGATTATTCGTAAGCATGTTAAGAAGATTTGTTGGTTAGACCTTTGATTTTGTTATGATAAATCGCACGTCTGTCAAGGGTTTGTTTGATCACGGTGCTATCTATGCGCTATAATCGACAATAAGTCTAGACTTTACGGGTATAAATTAGTCAGAGGCTCGGAGGTTTCCAGAGGAGGTTCTCCGTACATATACATTTTATCTTTATTAGGGGTGTAAACAATTTTGAGTATTGTTGAGCTCGACTCGATTCGAAAACTTTGAAATGGAGTTCGACTCAACTCGAAAACTCACGAGTTTAAAATTTTCAAGCTCGACTCTAACTCAAAATCCTGAATTGAAACTCGTGAGCAGCTCGAAAAGGCTCGAAATGAAAAAAAATATTAAACTTAATTTGATTGAAGCCTCAAACTCAAACTTTTAAATATATGAAAACCTTATTATATTTTTTTATTAAAAAATCAACATATAAATGTTAATTTTATAAAAAAATAAAATCTTAATATATTATATTTTTGAGTTGCTCACGAAATTTTCGAGTCGAGTATCAAGTAGCTTGTTTCGGCTCGTTAAGAACTCGAGTCAATTCCATTCAATCCAAGTATTTATCGAACCTTAACCAAGTCGATCTCAAGTAGCTCGTGATATGTCTCGTCTCATTTACAACCGTACTCTTTAGGGTGCATATTTGAGCCAAACCCACAAGCTGGTTTTCGAATGAACCTGAGTTCTTGTTCCGACTCCAGTAAACACCAAGCAGCAATTGTTTGGTTAACATACAATGTTAACATTAACCTGTGTACATGTGAACCTATATGCTGGCATTGGAGATGACAATGGTCTAACCAGTTGCCTTGGGACGGTGGTCTCCCTGTTTTCTTTGGATACTGGCATAGAACTTCAATTATTTGTTGATGAAATTGTCATTTTGGGAATGTCCGAATAATAATATTGTGATTGGAGCTATCATGCATGTCGGCAATAATTTTATACATCTCTGTTAACATGAAAACCATAATGGGTGGAGGCAGAAGGATTTGGCTGTCACCTGAGTGGCAGCCAGAGGAGAAGTTAACTTCAGTCTTGAAATGGGATGAGCATGAAACATCGAAATGACTTTGGGATATCAGTGTCAGTTTGTATTCTCCTATGAGATATTTTATGTTTTGGACATGTTTTATTAGTTTTCTAAAATTTATGATAATTGTAATAAATGATGAGATTAAATTTTTTAAAAATATTTTAATTTAATGTTGATCTCTTAAAAGTATTTTCCAATTTCGTCATTATATTCCAGCTATGCCAAAATATCCTCCCCAAAACATTGGAGAAATCACCGACGGAAAGCAGTAAAGCAACCAAATGTTTTTTTATATAGAAACCGGCACTCATACCACATCCATGTTTGTCTTCTACTTGTCTATCCCTTTCATCATCAACAATTATATCAGATTGTTCATCATTACAATGCCGTCGCAAATAAGGAACTCAAGTATGATCTCATGGGCCGGTGACCGTCCCACCTTTCACCCTCACATATTCTAAACCCTTCCTCGTATGCTTTGATCCTGTAATAATTTAACATGGGATCAGTATGTCGGTTAATTACATACGTTGCTTTGCATTGCCGAAATTTTAACAATTAAGTCTAAGATTTCATCATCCTTATCGATTGAAAATTCGAACACGATTAAACGTGTAATATCTTTCGATAAAATTAACAACGAAAATGTGCAGAAGAAAGAAAGCCAGGAGGTTGATAGACCAACAGATAGAGATCACAGACCCTGCAATCTGTAACATTACATAAAACACATGCGCTTAACTTGGAATTACATTATCTAGTGATATATTGGATGAATACTACTAGGACCACAGCACATTCTGCAATAACAAGCTGAAATGGCATGAAAAATACCATAGAGGATAAGAGAGCTACTAAAGGAATCACAGGTTGGATAGGAGAAAAATCTGTAACCAGAAGAGGAATTAAATGAAGGCTTAGTGGAACTCAGAGACTGGTTTTCTGAAAAAAATCTGAAACCAGTGCATGGTTCCTCGGCCTGTAAGGGTATACCCCTAAAAAGATGGGCTCTGTTCATCTTTCCAGAAGAAGGGTTTCATTGGACCAGGAGGAGGAGGAGAAGAAGCTGAGCTATGTTGTTGTTGTTGCCGCTGCTGGTTTTGATTGGAGAAAGGAAGATTTGAGGGCAAAAGAAGGTTGTTTGCTGTATCTAAATCATCCCACACTGGACTACTGGGATCCCAACCTGCTGGAATTGTATTGTACCAAGCTTCTTCCATACCACCCCACACCAATTCCTGAGAACCCGAACAACCCTGTACTGTCATCTGCACCTCATCATTGGTTGTCGCCTCGCTAGACCCCATCTGTGAGTCGATGTTCGGATTGTCTCCTTGAGGCAGTGGTGGCATCGTTTCGATTTTCGGTTCCCGTTCTTGCTTTGATCTTTCATGAAGTGTGTGTGGTGAAGAAACTGGTGAGACGGAGGTAGTGGAAGATGTATCTTTTTCCTTGTTGAGGAAAAGCTCAGGGAAATTGAGCTTTGCATTCTCTCCTCTCAACTTGAACGCCTCACGATCGTAGACTAAGGCTGCTTCTTCGGCAGTATCGAATGTGCCGAGCCAAAGGCGAGCCCTGTTACGAGGGAGGCGGATTTCGGCTACCCATTTGCCCCAATGCCTCTGCCTCACGCCTCGGTAGAGCTTGGTAGTATGTATAGGCTGCTGCACTTGGTGCTGCCCCAATCTACTCATGGTTGTCATCTTCCCTCTCGGACTCAAATTCAGTGCATCGGTCCAGTATAGCAGAAGTTGCTGCTGCTGCTGAGGCGATACCGATGTTTCTGCAGTATAAAATGGCCGATAAACAGACCCTTGTTGCTGCTGATTTTGCTGCGACGAGCGGAACATCGGCATAGGAGTCGGAGTATTTCCATATTGTTGAGGAAAGTAAACTGGCTGCTGAGATGCATCGAAAGTGAAAGGAAAAACCAGTCTAGAAGTTGGCAAAGAAGAAGAAGAAGAAGGAGAACTATTGGAAACAGGGGAGGGTGAAGAGAACGAAGACAAGTGACGTTCAGGGCTGCATATCTTCTTGAGGGGTCTTTGTGAAATGGAAGTTTCATCAAAAACAGGCTTCCATTGCCGCCTATCAAACCCAGAATCAAGATCCTTTCCTTTGTCAGTCTCTTGGAATGTTGTTTTCATCTTCTCTGTTTCATCAATCGCACCCTTGTTGGATTGGTCGTTGTTCTTCGTTTCAGCCATTGATGCTGATGATTACTGGCTTGCTCTCTCCCCTTATACAAATAAAACACCGATAGGTTCTAAGAAAATAAGTATGATAATGGAAATACTCGACTCAAAATGCATATAGCAAGAACGAAAATGAAGATGGAGGAAGACGATCTTTAGAACCCATATTTAAATTTGGTAAGACTAAAAAAAAGCAAGATCGAGTTTTGGGGCCTTAAATGTTGATTTGGACTTTCTACTACACATTTTCTGTGATTATTTAATATTTTTTAAAAATAAATAAAATTTGGATATTTGAATTTGGTTTGATATATATATATAGAGAGGATATGATAGCACGAATCGAGTGACTTTAGTAGTTAAAATAAATTATTGTTGTTCCTTAAAATCTCAAGTTCGAGCATCTTGAATGACAGGGATGTAAACGTTAAATGTTAAATGGTTTAGATTTATCTTTGAATAATAATATTTTTTTCACTTACCTTAGATTAATAAAAAAATATTTTTTTCTAATTTATAAGTGGAACTAACATTAATTATTATTATTTTAAAATTTAGATATTTATTCTCTTTCTTATTGATCTTGTTTCCTTTGATTGGTTAATTAAATTAGCGAAACCCTAGCTTGATGGGCATAAACCCAACAAATTGGCCACTTTCATGCTAACGATCGATGAAAGCTTCATTTCACCTCCCCCAGAGCTCGACACCAGGCATCGGCCAACTTCCGACCACCTTAAATGTTTGGCTTGCTCACCCTCAACCGAATAACTTTTCCATAAACACGAGGTTAATTAATGGTTATTTCAAACTTATATTAACCGATCAAAATCATTTACTTTTATATAATTATCAATACATAAATTGATTCAGATAAAATGTCGTAGATGTATATTATGAGAATAGCTTTTATAATTTAATTTGTTTTATTTATAATATCACAAATCGCATTTATGACCTTACTTTAAAAAATTAGTATCATACCCGATTAAATTAATTAGTAATCGATGAAATTAATATTTCATTAATATGTATACGAAAAACGTGTTTCATCCACTTCCATAATCAAATTATATTTCCAGATTTTTATTTCTTTTGGAGACGGTGCATATTTATATTAATGTTGACTCCTGGAGATAACTCGAAAGATTAATACTCCAAAAGCTAAAAAAAATAGACCACAGTTCCCACATATAAATAAAGGCTAAACCAGAAAATAAAAATTAGGGTACCAATAGCACCCCCTCGTGACTATAATCTATGGATGAGCAATTAATTTCTCTCCTCCTATCAACATGTCTAGGGTAGACGAGAAAATTAATTTTCTAGATGATCGAAAATAAGTTGATTAAATTTCATGTCTAGGGTTGTTTACATGCACTGGATACCAATATCAATGGCGTTTCTCATCCAATATCAGACGATGATCCACCACGTCAAGATAAATTGGGGTCTAAAACCCCAGCTTTTTCATTCAATACTTTATTGTAGAAAGTAAAGGCCTATATATTCATAAGAAGTATTTGTCGGATGAACTTGCGTTTGAAAACTAGTACCAGAAAAGGCTCGTACGTTCCACTTTTTTCAAAGATTTTCCTTGTGATGTATCCAAATATGAAAGTTTCGAGATGAATGAAGAGTGACGAGTGATATTGAACGGTGTGTTTGTATATTCTTTTTAATAGTCTGGAATATTACAAAATAGTGTACGCTCATATACACATCCTGTAGATATCGTAAATTGTTAAGTTGGTATATTCATGTATTAAGATGTGCAGAAACAGTAGACTGTTGTGTGGCATACACGTTAGGGCTTCACTTTCGGTGGCAAGGAGGGGGCCTGAGCAAACCAAAAGAAGGAAAAAGATAATGGCGGTGGAGGATGCATATTTGTCGTCAAAAAAGTCTCGAGAAATTAAGGATGTCCTTCAAAAGTCGGTGCAAGTCGGCTCCTACCCAATCATCTCCTCCCACGTCATCATTTTCTCTTCCACGACGGCAACCAAAGCTTTATAATTTTGAAAACCTTAGTAGATCACCAAAAATATCTTTTTACTCGAAAATCAAAAATAAATTTATTAAAAGATATATGAGATCACGACTATGCATGGGGTCTATCACATAATCTTCTAGGGTGAGGGGCAGTACCACTAACCTCTCCTTGAATAAATAAGAAAGTTTGGTAAGAATACCATGAGTAAACAGTAACATGTTTGAATTAAACATCATTTTCTTTATTGCATGATAACTACTCTCCTGGGGATAGGTTCATGAATCTTGGTATGAATTCGATTTGGATAAGAAATCTGGTTTAATTAATGTTGAATTAATTTCAATTTGAATATGCTAGTTTTTTTCAACGAAGTTTAAAAATATTAATTAATTAAACTACTTTTAATATCTTTACAATCGATAGAAGTTGAAATTTTGGATTGGAGTATTTAAATTTTATTGCATGTAAATATTATGTATAAATTTTTAATTCAAATTCATTTTATTTAAATTTTAGTATACAACAAACATATCTAAATATATACATTATAATTTTAAAATAAATTAATCAAATAAAATTTTAAAAACTTTTAATAAATAAACACAATATACTTTTTTTAAATGATAATAATTAAATATGACTAAACAGTGTGTTCATGGATATGTGATTCAATTAGAACAATAAATGTCAACAACCCGAAATGCTACGATGACAAAGGGAGTTCCCTTTAAACGTGGGTATCCCATAAGGTTTGACATGTATTATGTTTTTGATATTACTATTTATATTTAATTTATTAATTAATTCATTCTGGTCAGATATAAAAATTTATTATAGAAATGAGTTTTTAATTTAATTTACTTATTCATAATATCAAATTTTAAACTTGTGATTTTGATTAAAAATTTATGTCTAATATCACTCGATCAATTTATAAATAATATATGTATTATTTATTTTGAGGGTCCTTTTTTTTAAATCATAACAAATGTAATATAAAATTGATAAATTAAAACTTATTGTGTCGTATCCTCAAGAATAATAACTAAATATAAAAATATAATCATATTCATCGATATGTTAAAATCTTCAAATTTTATAATTTTGATCTTTTAAATTATTATATAATATCTGAAACAAAATAATATAGGGTTAATTACAATGTAATATTTATTGAGAATCTTTTTTTATCTATTAACAATGTACATATACTCTATAGATATAATTGTTTGAATTCAAAGCTTTTAAAAAATGACACTCCCTTCTACAACTAAGATCACTCGATGGATCCAAGTCATCATAAATTAAAAATTAATTGATTTATTATTTACGTATATTCAACCTATACTTTGACCAATATAAAACAGGAGTCATAGTTTTGAGACATATAATGCAATTAACTCACAATAATATTATTAAATGTGCAAGAATCAAGCAACCTCAGTCATTAAAGGGACGATTGTTATCCCTATAGCTCTTAGGTTCGAGCACGTCGTCTATAGGGATGCGTTAATTGTCAAATGATTGAAAGCCTTTCGAATATATACTATCTTATAATCACCCCATATTTATAAAAAATATTATTAAATGTTTCATACTTTTTATATTAGTTATTAATATATAATTTATAATGACAATAATAATCATAATTGATAAATTAATTTTATGCATGAATATAACAACATAATTAGAATCAATAAAACAATATAAATAATGAATTGAATCATAATGGTATGAAGAAAAAAAATCTCGACGCAATCAAGTTGAATTACATATGGGGGACAGAGGGCGACAAAGCCGGGGACATCCTTGTGTCCCTTTGATCCCGAACAAGCGATCAGCCACCAACATATCTTTTCTTCTTTGGACACAAGTTTTTAGGGACAACTTTCATGAATGTGTCGTACAATAATATCTAATGCTCTTTCGGTACCAACAATCTTTAAGAGACGGAAACATGCACAAGTGTGTCCCGAATTATAGGGCTCTCTTCCCATCTTTTGATTGACAAATATCAAATTTGTTTTCGACAAGGAAGCAGCATCTATGTCTCTTTCACTTGATTTCCTTCTTGTTTTGAGGCATTGGGAAATGGTTCTAAAAGAACATTCTCATTATGTTGGAAGCCATTAAATTAGTTCTTTTTAAGTGGTTGTTTATATGCAATAATCAAGATTCATTTTCCATTAGAAATAGACCGTCAAATGAAAAGATTTATATCTAAAAATTGTAGATCAATGTTTAAACTTGAATTTATTATAATTAATAATTAGATATTGATATAGATCAAGTCGAGTTTTCGGTCCACCTTACTTTGACCCGAGTAGTACACTCAGTCACCTGTCATCCAACCCAACTCGCATTTAAGGAAACTCTACTTGACTTGAAATACGATCCAATTTTTAAGGGTAAAAACTCACATTTGACTAACCTAACCTGATATATATAATTTTCATTTTTATTAAGTAGAATAGGACTTCATAAAATATATATAGAGATGAATATTATTGTAATTATCCATAAATATTTAGGGAATAATTATATTTTTATCTTGGATAGGGTATTTTTCATCATAAAATCATACTCGATCGAATCTGTCTTCATCCTTCAAAAGACTATACTTAAATCAACCAAATCCTAATTTTTAAAAAAATACTTAACTTCATAAAATAGAATTAAATTAGAACCTATCAAATTCGAGTCGAAAACCTATCTATATTAATAATTCAAAATGTTTGTATAATTAAAATTTAAATTCAAAACCTTCATCGTAAAATTATATTACTTTAGAGTTTAGATTGAAAAACTTTATTTTTATAAACTTATAATTATATGATTTATTTATTTCTTATTTAATGTCAGTTCATTATATCCTTATAATCATACAATTTCATATAAATTTTGAATAAAGAGAAAAAATCATTTTCTTGTTATCCTATAAATACAATATTTGCGTACGTTAAAGCAATCAAAGAAAAGTCACATGTAGTAGAGGTGTAATTTTTATTCTCGCGCTTTTAAGTACTTTCTTTTTATATATGAATCGAATTTTTATTCCGAATGCATTTAATTATTTTATTAATTCTTGACAAAAAAATCATTGTTGCCCTTGTAATAAACCCAATTATCATCTTCGTCCCTATCATTTTTTGAATCAATTTAGCCCTCGAAATTATCTATGATGTTCATCATAGCACTCGAAGTCCGTTTTGAATTAAAATCATTAGTCTTCTATAATTTTCAACACCAACAATTTTCAGATCAATCAAATATTACTGTCGCGACTTAATGACGATGTGAAATTTATTAAATAAATAAATAATAAAATATTTATTAAATACAACAGTTAGAAAAAATTTCCCAAAATTTGACCTCATCCTTTAATCTCATTGAAATAAATAATAAAATTTTGGGAATTTGTTATAATCAATGTGTTTAAAATATTGTAACCTAATCCCTTAATCCACAAATACAGAAAATTCATAGTTTTGTTAGTAAAAAAACAGTCAATGGGCTCCAAGGGCTAGGATGAACACCATAGACAATTTCGAAGGTTAAATTGATGAAAAAAACCATAAGTATGATAATGATAAATTAGGTTTACTACAGGGACAACGGTGAACTTAAGCCTTAGTTCTTTTTATGAACGGCTAGAATTCAATCTGTTGCAAAAATTTATTATGGATCTAATTGATTGATTTTCTTACTTTCTATTGAGGGCTTGTTTATCCTTTAGCCATTCTTTAATGAATTTAGTTTATGTGAATGAATGAATGAATACAAATTTGGTTAAATCAGATTAAAAGAAATTGAATGATTATAATTAAAAAAATTCAGTACATGTACAATACATCTGCATATACGTTCGTTTTCTTGCTCTGGGAACTGGAAAACAACGTTAAGCGAATCAAAGAAATGGAAGACATCGCTATATTTCTTCAACTAATCTCCCCTCAATCAAAATTCAGCCTGAAAACAAGAACAAGAGAGGAGATATGATGTTAGGTCATCTAAAGCTTAATCCCACATTTCTTATAAAAAATCTTGGTTTTTTTATCTGACTTCAAACTGTCAACGACTAAGATGCACTTCATCTTCGTCTCCATCTTAATCCAATTAATTCCTTCAATCACAAATATTATGGACACTTCTATCTCTATATCTAATGGGATCCTCCCCTCCATCTGGTCTCTGTCGATTGAGTCCTGGAAACCTTGGCTCACCTCTGTCTTCCCTTCCAACGACGCGTGCACCATCGTAGTGTTCTTCGTCGGTTGCAAGAAAGACGGGAACGAACCCGAACAGATCTTCGTCTCCCAGTACTCGACATCGATGGAGTTGTCCTTGGCGTACCTCAGCTCGATTTTGCTGTTGGTGTTGGTCGCATGGATCGAAACGGCAATGTCGGTTTCGAGGATATTGCCCTTGATATCAAATTTCTTCACTTGGAAATCCTTGAGTTCGTAGACAGGTATTTCGGGTTCGTAATATACGAGAATGAATATGGATATTGCGAAAGAGGCGAGAATCAAACACACAAGACAGTTATAGCAGCAGCATATACAACGTAGGCAACCGCTGGTTCCCGGAGGCTTGGCTTTAGGGTTGGGGTGAGGTTGATAGTAAACCGCTGGGGGCGGTTGACCGTAGTAAGGCTGCGGCGGATATTGATACATATAATTTGGTGGATACTGGCTGCCCATGTTCTCCGGTTGACTATCTCGGGTGGTAGTCAACCTCCTATTCGTATTCGTTCGTTCTTGTGGTACGAATTATGTTACGAACAAATCGATGACCGAGAAATTCGATAACTACAAGGGAGATGCCCCGTCTCCCGTCTCCCTATTCTGTTTGACGATGGAACATGGGGAGAAGATAAGGAATACGAGGTTGGGGCTTTGCTCCCTTTGATTAAGGACATTGTTGCAATATGGATGGATGTCAACCAATTTGCACCGAATTATGTGGATGTCAATTGTATAAACTGCAATCCGCCTTCAACAAGCCCAAAAAAGTGGTTTAGTGTCTTCTATCTATCATTTTTAGTCACGGTATAACTGAATAAAGCGTGGGATATATGTTTTTTTAATCATTTATATAACGTTTGTATATTAAGTTAAATCAACGAACATGGATAGAATTTTTATGTTTCTTTAATAAACGAACGAACACAAACAAAAGTATATTCAATTTGTTAATGTTCACGAATAAATTCGCTTGAAAGCTCGTTTATCGACTCATTTGTAAACTCTTTTATCGACTTTCTTGGAGTTCAAACTGTGAAGCCTAAGGAGTTAGAGAACTAGCGACATAATTTTACTATTTCTAGGAACATAAACAAACTTGTTCACCAACCCTAAGAACTAGTGACATAATTTTACTATTTCTAGGAACATAAACAAACTTGTTCACCAACCCTAAATGAACATGCCTACGAACATATAAATGAACATACTTATGAACCTTAAACGAACATATTTACGAACAATAAATAGACAAATTTGAACAGTTTAAAAATAAAGAAATAAATACGAACACGATATTAAAATTTTAAATGAACACAAATTGTATATAAACACTTTAAAAAATAAACAAACCAACACAAACACAAACCTATCAGTTGAATCTGGATCCATTTACAACTTACTTTTAAACCATTCGCTTATGCGCATAGCTGAATAATTCTGCAAACATTAATGGCGGTCACATATGATCCTCAGTAACAAATTTATTAGCTGCAACATCATTAATCAAGCATAAAACCAGTGCAACTAATAAAAACACCTTCCCAAAATCTTACAAAACATTCATTTATTATTCCATGTTTTGCCGAGCAAATATGGAAACTCAGGATTCACGCAAAAAGGAACAACACCGGTTTCAGTATAACACCTGAGTCTCCGTGAGCAAAATCTCTTCTTCTGTACTTCCCCTTCCACACTCTTTCATGTGACTTTTCGCTCATGCCGATCCATCTTCCCATACTTTTGCCTGTGATTTGCTTCAATACCCCTTCTCTTTAACCCGCTCTTTATAAATATGGCTCCTCCATTTCACCATTTCCCCTCGTATCCAGCACCCTTTTTCCCACTTACAATAACATAATCGAAAGCCAGCCATGAAACCTTGTGTTTGCGTTGCTGTAATTCTGATTTTTCTTCTGTTGTGCGTTCCGGTTTTCACGTCTGCAAGGCATGCAAGGTGGCTACAAACTCGTACCGATCACGGTGAACCAAGGACAAGAGAAAGGTTGATGTCGGAATCGAGTTCGGACCGGAGAAGAACCAGGCCGATGACGATGAAAAGAAAGAGAGCAGACACACTACAGGTTGCAGGGTCCAGACTGCCTGACTGCTCACATGCATGCGGGTCGTGCACGCCTTGCAGGCTTGTTATAGTGAGCTCTGTATGTGCGTCGCAGCAGGAAGCTGAAACATGTCCCATGGCTTACAAGTGCATGTGTAACAACAAGTCTTACCCGGTTCCATGAAAAGTTTTCACTTTTCTGTCTCGAATTTTTCGTTCTGTATTATACTGAGGTTGTCCTTCTTGATTTTGTGATGTAGTTCCGACATCCTGTTTTGTAATCGACAGCGTTCATGTTTTCTCCTGATTCTTGCAATCGACTTTCACTTCATGCCGACCTCAATTCTTAAGAGTATTATGTTACCATTAACATAAACTAATGTTACACATAAATTTATATTAGGAGTAAAATTATGATCAAATTAATAGATTACATAAACAAAATGATAGAATTTATAAGTTTATTGAATAGTTTTAAATTATGATCAAATTAATAGATTACATAAATTTTAAGGACTAAAATTACTTTTCTATCAAATCATAATGCTATCTCATCTAATATAACTCACTTGGGCTTTAAAATATACACTCAAATGGCAAAATAGGCCCAATAATGGCAGTCGGATTCCACTACTTATCCAATTGCATCCCATCATTACAAGAAAAAAGATTGGAGAAATAAAAGAAATCCCCCCCCTAAAATATAACTTGAGAGTCTTATTTCTTTCAATTTAGTCTCTTTTAATGTGAATGTTGTTAATTTTTACCTTTAAATTCATTTTTACAATTTATTTTTTATTTATATTATATATTTATATATATATTATATTATACATTATACATTACCATTATTTATTATTACTAATATCCTTTTTTGTGTTTCACCTTTTTTTTAATAGAAAATAACATATATTAATATTGTTTTACATGTAATCAGAGACGGATGCACTAAGCCCCTAAGGGGCCAAGTACATCCCCATTAGTTTGGAAAAATAATTGAATTTAAAGGAAAATGAAATAATAAAAAAATTTTGCATACACATTAATTTTAAGAAAAGAATACTAAAATTTTGAACTCATATTCTTAGATTTACGGATCTGTTACTGCATGTAATCATTTCTCAAATCTAGTTTTGACTTTAAATTAAAATATAGACACTAAAATTATTCTTTTCTGTAAAAATAATAATTCTATATATATATTCGAATAATGACATTGACTTTTAAATACTCAAATAATAATTTACATAATAATATTACATAAAATAATTTCAAAAATTATGTAACATTGACACCAAATCAAAAAGGTAAAGTTTTATCCGAAATTGAAACCCGAAACTTAGGGTCGTTATACGGTTCAACAATTTAATATAAGACTAAAAAAAGGTACGATCGAAAATGTTATAAACTACGCAGCATTTGAGGTTGCATGCAACCTAAAATATTAACTTTTTAATATTTTTTGTTCAACCGAAAATATTATGAAAAATATAACATTATCTGTTGCAACCTAAAATATTACAAATAAAATTTGTATCTAAAAAAATATTTTAAAAAATTAACATTTTAAATTACGCATAATCTAAAATATTATATTTATTTATAACATTTTCGATCGCGAATTTATATTAACTTACTGTACCATATAACTTATTTTATTTTGAACTAGATGGACGGATTTGACATCTAAACCAAAATTTGTGCCCTGGAAATATGCCTCAAATTGTGGCCACCGATACTTATATGACACGTGTTTTAACTTAACCCTATACTAGATAACTTTAGTTAAATATATTACTATTACAACAGAACAACTACAACCAAATTCTTGGAGCAAATCAATTTTGAAGCTTAAATTACATTCTAAAATCATTTTGCTTATTTGGAGAAGAATGTTCAAATAGTCTTTCAATAAACAATAAATTAAGAAATATGTATTATATTGATCTTTTATTTTATTTTTCCTTGGTATTGCACTAGAGCTATCAAACTGTGTGCAGATTGCATTACTCTCAAGACTACAAAACTTTGGGAATGTTTCTCAAGAAGCAAAACACTTTATTTTCAGTGGAAGAATAGCTTTTGTTGTTGATATATAACAGGTTTAGCGGTCATCATAAAGATCCAGCTATGGCTATTATAATTGTGAAGAAAGGTAGGCATAGCTTCCGTTATGATTTGATTGCTTTCAATTTTTCCTCTATTCTGAGAATAATGATTAATTTAATCTTCAGCTTGATTTTTTGCCAAGAATTCTTGTTGTAGAATAATTCCATTTTTTTAGGAAAATAATAATAATAATATATCTAATTAAAGTTATTTAGTGTAGGATTAAGTTAAAACACATGTTATTCAAATAATTTTTTATTCAAAATCAATATTCACATAATAAAATCCTCCGGTTTTATTACTCTCCACATTATATATTTAGTTATTTCAAATAAAAATGAGTTCACAAGCAAAGGAGCGACAAATGGCAACAAAAGAATTAGATGAAGCAGAGCTACAAGGCCAAGCGGAGATATGGCGGTTCATGTTCAGCTTTGCGGATTCTATGGCGCTTAAGTTTGCTGTCGAGCTCCGCATAGCCGCTCCTTGGCACTGCTTTAGCCAATGCGTTCAAGAAGGTGGCATCGCCTTCAAGAAAGCTCACGGGCGTGAGATATGGGATATGGCATCGGAGAATCCGGAACTCAACCGGCTTTTTAACGACGGTATGGCGTGTACATCGAAGGTCGTCACCAGAGCAATCTTATCGGGGTACAAAGAAGGGTTGAGCTCAATCGGATCATTGGTTGATGTTGGTGGTGGAACGGGAAGCTTGATATCTGAGATTGTCAAAGCATATCCTCACATCAAAGGTGTTAACTTCGATTTGCAGCATGTCGTCTCGGAGGCGCCACCATACGACGGGGTCTGCCATATTGGCGGCGATATGTTTCGGGCCATTCCGAGTGCTGATGCGGTCATTATGAAGGTACATATGCTGTTAGTCTCTCCATGTTTTTAATGTAGTTATGTAGATTTTATAATATTAAGAGTAGAATAAAATCATAACTATATATATCAAAGTTCTCTCAGCATTGTTTTAATAATAAGATATAAAGTTTTTCTTTAGGATATAATTCTACTTAATATTACTCTCATTTTTACTAGTGACTATTTGCATGATTTAACATCACACCTGCACCTATATATTTGGACTGCACAAAATCACATCAAGGGGTCCTTATTTAAAAGGAAACACGGTTATTGGAGAAAAAGGTTAATCTATTTGCTCTTTAGGTCACAAATCATTTTCAAGCAACTGCACAACATTTGTTTTTTTGTGGCATGCACAACAATAGTTCTGGAGGTTTTGTGGCTATCATGCCATGAAATCAATGATCATAAAGAAGAAAGAGAGTTTGGACACTGTTGTTTTTTGTCTTTTGTTTTGCAGTGGATATTGCATGACTGGGGTGATGAAGATTGCATACAGATATTAAGGAATTGCTGGAAAGCAATTCCAAGAGGGAACGGGAAAGTGATAATCGTTGAGGTTGTCGTCAAACCCGATGGAAACGGACCGTTTGACGACATTGGATTCGTATTCGATCTTCTGATGATTGCTCATTCCAGGGGTGGAAAGGAGAGAACGGAGGTGGAGTGGAAGAGAATATTGGAACAAGGAGGTTTCTGTCGCTACAAAATCATCCGCATTCCAGCCTTGACTTCCATCATCGAGGCATATCCTGATGATTAGGAGACTGTTTAGCATAATTCCGGCAGGGGTTTAATAAAAGAAATTAAATAAATCTATGTGATTATGTCACATTCAGAATCGGTTCACGGGAGAGCAATATGAACAGTTGCACCTTCAATCTTCGGGCAATTCATAATTCGGAGGTCTCCTACGGAAGCTGCTCTCAACCTGATGTTGGGGGCAATCTATTATCTTACCTCATCCTATCCCATTACTTATGGGAATAAAGGGTCAACTATAGTATTAGTTTTATTTAAGATGTTTTCTTAATAAAATAATAAAAATAATATGTTTGATAAAGTTTAATGATGTTTTATAGTTTATTAATAAAATATTAAGGGATAAACTACAAAATTGTCACTAATACTTGAGTGAATTTTCGTTTTTTCCAATTGTAACTCCTTAAATTTTGGGTTAGTAGTTCGGGTCAACCCGATACCCAAAGTTTGAGCCCAAAAGACCTTATATAATTGTTGGACCAAGTTTAGTGCTAGTGGGATTAGGTTGAACCCAAGAGTTTTAATGTTTGGTGATGATAATTTTATGAAATAGAAAGTAGAGGAACTAAAAGTGTAGTTTACCCATAGTTCAAATAGAAAGCTAAAAACCCCTTTATTTTATATTATTTACGTGAACCATCTTCCCTATTTTCTCATCAAACACTCATCCTCTTTTTCTTCATCATTTCTCTTTTCTTCTTCATCTCCCAAAAAGAAAATTTAAGAATTCAAGCTATTTTTCTTTAAACCAAGGTAAGAATATTTCTCCCTACCCTTCAAGCTTCAAATTAAGCTCCACATTGCAAGTTTTAGAATTAGTTTTCAAAAATGGGTATTGAGAAGTTTATGAGGATATATGGTTTTTAACTCATTTTTGGGTAGATTTGAGTTATATGGAGTTTATTTAGATTGTATCCAACCCCTAAATGGATTAGTAATCCCTTTGCTCACTTTTGTTTATTGAAAGAGGTGAAAGAAAGCTTAAGAGCAAGAGGTAAAGAAAAGTTTATTATTGGGTAAGTTGGGAGAGTTCTAGCCATCTAAGAAGCAATGTAACACATTTACAACTCCCTTATACCATTTATGGGTCACTAGAAAATGCATGATAGCTAGAAAGTTGAGATTGAAGCATGTATTATCATCCATGGTAGATTCTAGCTTATGGTGTTATTTAACTTGTTTAAAGCTCCTTTATGATCCATTTATCATGTATAAAATTATGTTGGTCAATTGGAAATGTTAGAATGATTTTGTGAGGGTTTAAAAGTGTTTAAATGGGTAAAAATTTGAAGATGTAGAAGAGGTTTCGAAACCCCCTATGGTTGGTTTCAAAACTTTATATCCATAATGCAATTTTAGGCAAAGGTTTTGAAACCTCTACAGTAGGTTTCGAAACCCCATACCCAAACCTCTACAGTAGGTTTTGAAACTTCTATAGTAGGTTTCAAAACCTTTGATTGATTTTGGCCAAATAGGCTTAGAAAGGTACACAAACGACCGTGGACTTATAGTATACTTTTAATTGTGATAATTTCTAATATAATGATATGTGAGAATGAAATAATGCTAATTACAACTAGAAACGAGATAAATTAGGGTGACATAAAACTAACCTTGTTTAATGCTTGAGAAACAATTAAGACACCTGAGTTCCTTTAGAAATATAGTACAATCGAAAGTATAGATGCAGTCTGTATATCCTTAGGTAGTGCACGAGGCACTTTAAATTGACTAACTAGGGCGCAAAGACCGACACCTATAAGGGGTGGGTTAATCGAGGGTGTTGATTGATGCAGAGATTCTAGGCAGCATCCTCTGTACAATAGACGAGCTCCGAGATGCAGAGATTCCTCAGCCGCACCATTATATATACCCTAGAGTAAAGAGTGAGTATCACGATGATACTCACTAATGTTTGAGATAAGATAGCTTGATGTATTTCCCTAATGCACTTTTAGTATGATTTAGTTGTTAGTGTAGCATTGAGCTAGTCAGCTCAACGTTTGGAATTTGTTTCCTTACGCATATTAGGTGGAGATTTCGGGGAGACCCAGAGAGAGACAGAGGTCCCGACTAGAGCAGATTAGAGTACGTTTCAGCGTTTTGAATGGCATGTATATTTATAAACCCTATTGTATAGTTGAGTCATAAATGTATTTTAAAGTTGGTTTGCATTATTATTTTGAATGTAAATATTCATTTTGGGAGTTCCATAGTGTACAGTTTTAATTATATTTTTATGATTGATTTTATAAAGAAAATAATATTTTTTAAGCAAAAGAAGTGGTTCCGTGTAGCATCCTAATCGGTCGACTATGTCACACTAGTATAGAGTGTTATATTTTGTGGTATCAGAACAAATGTTTAGACGTTCATAAGACTCGCGGGTCAGTGTCAATAAAGAGTTTATGAGTATACATGCCCTAAAGAATTATGTCGTACTCCTATATCTGCAATAGTAATAGTAATTCCTTGTTTTCTTCTTAATCTCAGATCTTAGATATGGAGGAAAAACCCAGGCCCCAGTAGAGAGGGTAGGAAAGAGAATAGAGCTTACTTAGCTAGTGATTCTGGTGACGAGTTCGTCCCAAATTCAAAGTATGGAGAGCCTAGAGAGGAACGAGTTGATGAGGTTGTATTCTTTAAAAATATGACCTCTACTCTAGAGCATATAGTAAGAGTTGTAACACCCCCAACCCGTATCCGACCCGGATCCGAGTCCGAGGTATCACATTGACTTTTCAAAACTTTTGCTTGTACAAAATTAGTGAATAATTTAAAACTTTTTATAACATATAACTTATTCAAACCGTTTATAAAACTATTCAGAGCTTATACAATACATTATTTTGAATACATGCCAACTAAAACTTTAGTTGTTAACATACATATTATTCATCTTTCTTCTGATCTGACCTTCGGTAAGAGGAACTGACCTGTCTTACTCCACATTGCTCTTTACTCTTCTCACTTCTGTAACCTACGTGTGAAACAATCACACGCTAAGTCTATGACTTAGTGAGGCAATAAACATATAATGTAAACATTTACTAGTAATTATTTCTTACAACTCATATACTGTTATTATCATTCATATCTCTTATCTCCTGTTCCTATGATCTTTTATGTCCATATTATATATCTGATAGACTTGTTATTATATCATCATGTAAATCAATTATACTCATTCACATATACCTTAACAGGTACTCACGTATACCATATAACATATATATCATATCATGTAAAACATATATCTTATCATAAATCAAACACACAAGCAACTATATCATCATCTTCATTCTTATCACTATCATTGATTCCTTTTATCGTATAATCTTATAATTACCATTTGTGCCATCATATATCACACATAACCTTTCATAAGGAAACAAACATATCATCATATCCAGTTTATTAATATTATCTCTTTATTAGCCCATGGTACACATGTGAGAACTGTAGATACATGAGTCTATTGAGGTTGTGTACCACTATGCTGTCACCACAGCTCGTATAAATGTCCCGAAGGACCACATATCATTCCTTAAGAATCATATACATATGCCAAGGATCAAGTATGTGTCTCACCAGACTTCACACATGTTCCAAAGAATACATATATGTCCTGAAGGACCTATCCAGAGGTCATAAAGATCCTCGGTAACTATCCAAAGGTCATAAAGATCCTTGGAAACTGTCCATAGGTTCCGAAGAACCTAGGTAAACTGTCCATATGTTCCTTAGAACGTAGGTATATTGTCCATATGTCTCGAAAGACATAGGTAATTATGTCCATATGTTCCGTAGAACATAGGTATACCCTCGACTCTTGGCATGCTAACTATACCCCTAGCTCTCATATCACAAACATGGGCATTATCATTTATAACATTTCATATCACTTGTTATTTTTTCTGTCACATACCACATGTATGTGTAACCATATATATCATATTATATCACATGTATCACAAGTGCATGTATTCACGTAGATCGTTTCATATGACTTATATCATTTCTCATTTGTTCATGTAACTCGCATATCATATCATGTAACATATACCCATAACTTCATATCACATACTTATATCAATTCACACTTAGTCACATGGGTCATTTCTCATAATATATATTCTCATATAACCTATGACTTATTATCAAGTACTCAATTAATGTTCCTATATGGTTCCATCTTTATCATATAACCTATAAGCTATTCTTATATTACCCTATATCAACCATACTTTGTTTATCTCACTTTTCATATCATTCATTTATCACATATATGTCACTTTGCTTATAACACTTATCTGGTTTTCATATGACATGTAAATCATTGTCAGCTCTTGTTTCATATAATTCCGTATAGCACTATCACATAGTTACATCCTATGATCATAGAATCATATCAATACATATACTCATGCACACATATAATCATAACAAACACATACCTCTATGAATTCATGCATTTACTATTGGAAATAGACTTATCATAAGTCTTATTTCCATTTAACATCATATATAAATAACGTGCACTCACCTTGGCCTCACTAAGTTTCAATCTACTTTATGTTTCCTCTCTTCCGATCGAATCTTAACTTGATACACACCTGGAACTTGTTCATGTTCGATATCTACATAATTATACATTGATACATATCAGTATCTCATTGTTATAATCTAATCATTTCTTAGACCAGAAGAAATGTCTATTTCAATTTCCCCTTGAAGTGCTTCGATGCATTCTACAGTGCATCGATGTATTCTTTAACATGTGCATCGATGCACTACCCATGCATCGATACACAAATTACCTTCGATGTTTTTTTTTAAAGGGATGCATCGATGCACCCTATGCATCGATGCACCATTTGCATTCGATGTTTCTTCTTTAAAGAGTGCATCGATGCACATTCAATGTGCATCGATACACCTTGCCAGAATTTGCATTTTAAGCCCGAAATCCATTTAATCAACTCAAATGCTTCACATTTCATCCCCTTCATATTCCTTACTTACATATATATTTGCCCTCATTTCTATCATAATCACTTCTTTAACCTCCATATCATATTTCTTAAGAAATTCAAGAATACCCAAATTTTAACATGTTACAAATCCAATTCTAATACTTCATACATGTTAATTAGATTGATGACAAGTCAAATTCACTCTAAAACCTCATTAAAGAACCCTCTTTCAAGATTTCACTTATTCCTCTCTTTTCTTAATCCCCTCTAT